TATATATATATATATATATATAGTTATACAATGAAGGTCAAAAGATGAAAATAGTATAGTAGTAGTTAAGGAAGTAAATAATTTAAATTATGTTATTTATTTCTTAGCCACATTTTATATGAGATAAAATTCTTCAATAACGTAGACATTTCAATAAGAGGAAGTCTTGAAAATTACAATTGCTCTTTAAAACGGATGCAGTCACAATCGACAAACGATGTTTGTGTAAATCCTATTAACTGAAAGTAAATAATGTAAGTTACGACTGTTAATATCTAGAATAAAAGGCATGTAATTCTCAAGCCTTCAAATATTATTCGTTTGGTCCTTCCTCCTTAATTTTAATGTCTATAAATGCATATTAATAATTGTAATACAGAAGAGTAACCATCATATTTAACAAAATCAAACAGTTTTACAAAGATCTTTTTTTATATATAAAATAATATTTTATATAATATTTTAATGAAATGATATGTAATGTGTGAAACTATTACTGAACTATTATTAGGAATTACGTTATAAGTATTCACAAATGTTCGAAAGTTCTTCTAAAAATTAATTTAAAAATGTAAAATTAATATAAATTAACGTCTTTAATATTTCAAATTTCAATAAATTTTATTTTTTATGAATTTATTTATATATTTTTAAGGAATTATGTGTATATATATGTATCAGGTTTTCGCTAAAACAATATTTAAATTTTTTTCATATTACATAATTTTTATTAAAAGAAAAAGTGAGTTACAATCATCCTATTGCAATTTATTCTTTTGCATTAAGCTCAAATAAGTTTCAATCAGAATGTTATTAAAATATGATTACAATATTTTCTTCTGGGCATTATAAGCAAAAAAATTATTCAAATAAAACAGATATATAAGTATAATCACTGCTTGCATAGGTATACTCACTCACCATTTAATGACACAATAAAGATCATCAGAAGCGGAATTATTGGTGGCAAGATTGGCAGCCAACAGACTGCCACATCTCTGTTATTCAAATTCCGATTGTGCTCTGAAACATAATAAAAAAAAACTGTAATAATAACAAATCATTGTAAATTATTTAAAAAAGGTCTATATTAATCTTTTGTACAAACTTTGTAAAAATAGTGCCAAGTATATTAGCACTTTGTATATAACGTTGTTCATTCTTATGCGCTTGCTGATGCCATTTTTTGCGAATGGCATTCCACCGTACACTATGATCCTTTATTAATTGCTCTCGTGATTTAAGAACTTGTCCCTCCTGTAATTATGTTATATATAATTTATATGTAATATATGATTATACCAGCATAGAAAATATGTACAATATACACTTTATTCATAAAACTTCAATGCAATATGTATAAATTTTTTAAATTTAAATTTGAATATTGTCTATCAAAATTATTCGCTTAATAATATTATCTATCAACATTATTACTCACATAATCTAAGTTCAGATCATCCTTTTCTTGAGGTACAGGGGATGGAATACGATTTCTTGGTATGGCTTCCTCGCGAGGTAAAGGAGGTGGTAAATAATAGACATCATTTATTTCTCCATTAGCTCCAATTAAATTATCTGCTATATTAATATCATTAACTACTTCTGGACTTGGGCTGCGTATTCTATAATATACAAATATATCTATTTTAGCTTCTTTGTATAAACATATAGAGTTAAATATGAAATTAAAAATACTATTCTGTGACAATTTAACTTAATTCTTATTTAGATATATATATAATTGTATGTATGTATATAATGCATCTATTTGTTATTATGCATATGATTTCTTTATATTAAAGATAAGAAATTATATATTATGCAAGCACTATAAGAAACATAAAAAATTCTACAATAATAAAAGAATATAATAATATTACTGCCATAATACATAAAAATATTCCATAATGCATTCTTTTTAAATAAAATAATCTATCAAAGCTTAAGTGTAACAAATGTGAATATAAATAAAAAGCAATAAGTAACACTTACTTGGGAACCAAATTAGGATTCCTTGGCTGATTAGCCATCCAAGCGCGACATATCGGATAAAGTGGTGTATCTTCTTGAAATTGAGCTAAATCAACACTTCGATCAAAAAGTTTCATCACGTATGTATGATGAAATGCAACATCAGCCTGTATTTGTCGACGACGTCTGATTTTTCGTGTTGGTTGTTGGAAGCTAATAGGTCTTGCCCTATAAACCATGATTAAAAATATAAAAAATTAATCAAAATTAACAATTTAAATAATCTTATGTAACTAAATATAAAATGCAGAATTTTACATCTTTTTTATTAGATTTTTATCTTGTGAATTTTCTTCGCCTGAATCCGCTGATGAACCTGTATCACTATGTTGCAATAATTCTCGAAGAGCACCTTTTAAACGATCCCTTGCTACAAGAACATCACTATCTCCTAAATAAACATAATCAATACTATTCAAATTTCTTAAAACAATCATTTATTTTTTATATATTAATTATATATTAAATTATATATTAAATTATATATATAATTTGTTATTTTTTTTTTTTTAATATACAGTTTTTTAAATATACTTTTCAAGCATTATT